TACTACTACTACTACTACTACTACTACTACTACTACTACTACTACTACTACTACTACTACTACTACTACTATTATTATTATTATTACCATTATTATTATTATTATTATTGTCATCATTGTCACATTAATATACCTATATATATTTCTGTATATTTATATTATTGTCACTGGGCAGGTGGGTCGAGCGGCCAACGATATTGCATCTGTTCTGATTCCTTCAACGCCGGACAGCCACACTTTGATTTTGGACACATCACGACTCTTTGGACGTGAAATGCCTCTTCTTGAAACTAGAGTACTCGGTATCAGAAGCACGATTACGCTAGATTTATATTTTTATTATCGCGGTATATATACATATATACACATATGCCTGCTTTTCAATTACGATAGAGAAATACGTGTTTTATACATATATATATTTTTTATATAATATATATATATATTCATAGATATATTTTTCGCAATTGAAAGAAGCTCTTATTATGAAATTGATTCGATTTTCGGCCGCTCGGCTGGTTCATCGTACATACATTTTTTTTCTTTTTCGTTCCATTAGCTTTTTTATTTTCTATCTTCTTCTTACGACTCACTTGCCATTACCTCGCCAACCGTGTTTCCATCCTACCTCTTCATATTTCTTATTATATAGCTTGAAATCCTGGTGTTGTGATATAGTAGTAAAGAAATTGCTTTTTGGGCATGGTACTGACAGTCGTTCGAAGTTGTCATTCTAAATAAAAAAATGAAAACAAAGGAAACAGAAAAAACTGATGTATAATTTAATAAATTGTCCCTTCTTTCTTAATATATATATATATTTTTTCTAGGGATTCTAATTTTTATAGTTTCACGAAATACTAGAAATATTTCTGTATATATATTTTGGTAATTTTAAATTTATTTTTTAATACCACATTTTTTTAGAAAAATTACCAAAATACGAACTTGAATATTAAGAAAATATGTTTTTTTTTTTCAAAAGAAAAAGAGGGAAGGGATCATTTATTTTCGCCACTATTTTTGTTATTACTGTAAGTTCTATTATAACAAAATTTACAACGAGAACGAACGTAATGTATCTCCCTCACACCATAGCCTAGCTTTTGTGTTACACAACAATTTTAAATATTTGAAATTAATTCACAGTAAGTAACTAATTTCATGTTACTCATACACATATATAGTTATATATATATATATATATATATATATATATATATATATAACTAGTATAACACATATGCTACATATATATATCATATATACATCTATAATAGCAAATAATACATATTATATATTTAATTTAACATTGACGAATAAGGGGGGATTATTATTGATTAAAATTCGTTCAGAATTATACTCATTAACAATAATTATTAATCAGTGCCATATTAAAAAAAAAATGAGTAATATTTCTTAAAAAAAGATTTGAATTTAAATAAATATTTAATACATTTAAAATATTTAAATAATATGAAAATAATTTTACAAAAAACAAATAAAGTTTTATACATTATTAAAATCCTTTGAATTTAGCAAATAATTTAGAAAGATCATATATAAGCTTAGAATAAAAATTAAGCTTTATTTTTATATTTATAAAAGCTCTTTTGGAACAGTGTTTTGGAAGATCGGTTGGCAGCCGAGCGATTCGCTCAAATAATAAAAACTATAATTCTTAAATAGATTTCTTATGTATGGTGTGAGATTTTGCGTGGTATCACTTTTGCGAGTTTGTTGTGAGTTGCATTGTATATGCGGCACATTGCATGCTGAACTCAATTCCTCATATAGTTTGATTATAGATAAACATAGGTGGATTGCCAATAATAAATCCGTATGGGTATAATGTAGTTCTAGGAAGTCGAAATTGTTTCATTTCATCATACCGATACAGAACGCATTGTTAAAGTAAATAGATGATTTAAGATCAATGCTATTAATATAATATAAATATAAAGTCATTCCTATTAATATTTCGTTTTAGAAGCCTAATTTTAATGTAAAAATAATAATAACAATAATATAAATTTATAAATAGTCGGATAATATATTAATCTTTATTGGTCGTTAATGTCGTAGATTGAAATATTATTTAATCTATACGATACTTTATGTCACATCAGAAATAATATAATATGTTCGTTAAGGATTAAACTTTTGGAAAGACTTTTTCAAGAAATTTTTAAAAACTTTCCCCTTTTTTTTATTTATTAAAATATCATTTTAAATTATGTTCATAATTTCAATGTCGTATAATTACTAAAAATTTCAAAAAAATTGAACATTCAAAATATTTTGCAACGAACGAAATAAGCGAATCGCATATAATGGGTTGGTTATATTATTATTGATTAATTTGTTCGTTATTTATTAGCGATAACTTTTATTATCGTTTATTAAATATATAAAAAAATAAGTATCGTTATCTTTAAATTAAAACTGGACTTCTTAAAACGATATTATTTATGAAATGATCTAATAATCTGCTTTTAAAAAAATATTCTCTTTCTTTCTTTTTCATATGTTTTATTCCATTTTATTTTTTGAAAATTCGATTTGATTTCCAAAAATCGATTCGAAAAATCTATTATTTCAACATATTTAGATTAGATGAAGATTAATATAGATAAATAATATATAATTAGAGTGTTATATATTTAACAGCGTTATTTTTGGATTTAATTAAAGGAACGAAAAGAAATCATTCCTCTTGAATGTTATATGAGGAAATGCCATCGATCGGCTGTCAGACAACTTCCCGTTCAGAAGAACAAGTATTCTCTCTAGATTAATGCGGAATGCATTGGAAGAAATTATATATTTTCGTAATTAATATATCTTAAATGGGAGGAAAAAAATTGCAAGTAATGATCAATGGTTAAAAAAATTTCTTTCAAAATTCCACAATTATTTTTCGAGATATACTTTTCTATCGAACGATGCGCAATCTCCAAAAAAAAAAAAAAAAAAAAAAAAAANAAAGGTATGAAATATGATGCGAGTCGAATGTGAGCGCGAAGCAAATGAGGGAGGAGGGGAAGGGAAGGGAAGGGAGAGAGGAGAAAAGATGAAAGGGTGGGGGAAGCAACGCGTGCATTCGAGACGTACACGTAATTTGATATTTTACATTTGATGAGTACTCTGGCGACGTAAGTACATAAGATTATTTACAGATCGTTGACAAAACATGCAAATGTTATTATTATAAAAAAGTTTTAAGAAAGATGGGAAAGAAAGATCGCACATGTATCGATATATTCGGAATTCAGAGTACCGTACGTCTTTTACAGGTATGATAGGAGCTTTGCCACCGGGAGCAATGCATCCGGCATTCGCAGCTCCAATGGGTTTCCCCGGTGCACCAATGTTGGCTCCGATGATGCATCCACGCTTCAGATGATCACCTCCTATGGACGGGCCCACCCCGCCACTGCACTTCGTGCTCTGGGCCCGCCCCTAAATTTGATTAGGGTCCGGACCTGATTGACAAGAAGAGGAGAGAAAAAGCACGCGTAAAACATGTTAGCTCGCGTGGACACGCATTGTTGATCGGCCGCGGCTGCACTTGACGCATCCTCTCCTACGAAGTTTACACGAAGTTAGCAAAAATCTTTGTTTTTTTTTTATAATATCATTGCAAAACACACATCACGTCAGTGCCTGAGAGGGTTTACCAGGTGCAGTGGAAACGGTCGGTCGTCCTCCTCTCCCCCGCCGCCCCGTCGCCCCGCCACCCAGCCCCCCCCCTCTCCCCTCGATTTTTCTGCCTTCGGTAATCAGATATCGAATAAGTCCAATTCTATTAATTCCCTTTTCTTCCACGCGTGGCGCGTGATCGCGCGATATCAGCGCAACGACACTAACTTCTTCCCGAAGGAGTCTGAAGTCCCAGGTGAGCAACGAAATATTTTTTTTTTTTTGTTGTAAAAACAATTTTGTTGTTTGCCTAAAAAAACGAAAACAAGGTGATTTTGATCCTTCGGGTTTTGATTTATCTTTTCTATGGATATATTTGTTGTTACGTTATATAAGAGTACCTGGTATTGAAATTGTAGTTAATGAAAAGGATGGTGGTATTATGTTGTTAATGGCTGTTAATGAGCACGAAAGCTTTCGCGTAGAGAATTCGTACGCTACTAATACAAAAATCGTATTGTTGCAATTTTTTTTTTTTTTTTTACGTTGCTCATCGTGATATACGAAATCACGAAATCAGCTCTGGAAGGTGTGTTTCATATCTTTCGGCTGAATGTGTCTGAGTAGAAAGAAACTTCTATATACGATTTTTCCGATTTTTCGGTTGTCCTTTTATTTTTACGGTAGACCGTTTCCACGCGCTGTTTCTCAGTCTCTGCACCAGTGTTCTCTTGGAGAGACGCGATCGCGGAAAGGTGGCATTTCACACTGCAGCTCAACAAACCACGAAATCTTTTTTCTCTCTTATCTATACGTATATACATATATATATCATACATAATACCGTATAATAATATATATTAAACGTTTGTACAAATTTTAATTTTTTCCACTTTTTGATTTCGATCTCTGTTTTATTTCTTTTTTTTTTTTTTTTTTTAAAAGTAATCAAGTCATCAAAAAAAAAAAAAAAAGAAAGTTTATATTTAAGCTGCAGCGTGAACATTCTGTCGCCTCAGGTTAGTTTGTCACAACTTTTATTTTGTTAACATTCCAGATCGAGTCGATTTACTTTTCGCCACGTATTTTTATATATCTTTCCTCTTGTACATACGTTTTTTTTCGCATTTCACTCGTTGATAAGATAAATTATTAAAAGATTCTCGTTTTCGATATTATTCGGAAACGAAGAGGAAGATGCGAAGATTTCTACGGCGCGTTATATGCGCGTATATCATCACATCTAGCTTGCATATTTAAAACACTTTTTTCCCATTGTTAACGATATAAAAGATATTTTAAAAATAGATCGCTCGTTATTTAAGGTGGAATCATTATATAAAATCTATTTATTTATTTTTTTTTTTTTAAATATCTTTTCCTCGAAATTTCAATATTATCGATAGATATATTTTATTAAACAAACATTCATACATTTATTATGTATAGTTATATTTAATTTAAAAAAAAAAACATTCGAATAATTTTGCAAAAAAATAAAATAGATTACATTTTGCACGATAATAATATATAGATATGATAATTATTTTGCATAAAAATTTTCGCAAATATTTGTTCGTAGTAAATTCATTCGTAGAATTTTTAAAATAATTCTTTTTATCGTTAATAATAGTAAAAATAATTTGCAAGCTATGTGACATACTTTATTCGATTAAAGTTTGTTTTTTGTAGCAAATTTGCAAATTATCGGAACGAAAATAATTTTTATTACAAGATATAAGAATAAAATTGAAAACGAAAAGGAAAACGAAAAAATTTAGTTTGATATTCAATTTTATCATTAAGATATCTATTTCATTTATTAATTAAACGAGTTTTTCCTCTTATTCTTATTATTATCGATAAAAATGTTTCACGTTCTCTCTGTTAAATGCATCTCACTCGATATCACTATATATATTTTAAAAAGATTTTACGAAACAACAATGTTAATTTACAATTTTTGTACGTCCACGTTTCCTCGTCTAATATTTTATAAAATAGTTATTAATGATTATTCATTTATGTTTTTTTTTTTTTTTTTTTTTTTTTTTNTTGTTCCAAACAACGCTCATGAACGAACAATGCGAAAAATTTATACACTTTTCCTCGATACGAGGAAAATTTCTTTTTTTTTTTCCCCCCTTTTTTCTCTTCTCTTTTTTTTTTTTTTTCTTATAAATTGTAAATTATAATTAATTAATTAGAACAAAAGACAAACAAAGAATATATATTAAAATTAGATTTAGAAACGGATTGATGAATTAGACAAATATTTGCTCCCGTGTGAACGGTACGAATTATTTTAATCGAGAAATCGATGGATCGATGATAATCTAATAACACGTTAAAAGATGCGTTTAATTTACTGGTCGAAAAGTAGATGTGATCGATTCGATCTGCGAAGCCCTATTCCTTTGCAAGAAACGTGTTGGCAACGCATGAGTGAGTGGTAAGTACGGAGGGTGCTCAGGAAAACCGATATCAGCTCTCTCTACACTCGACTCACGCCGTTTTCTTTACATTATCCTATGCCAAATTATTAACGTTCCGATCGTAAAGTATATGGTGATATTATTTATAAATAAATATATATATATATATATTATATATATTATACAAATGATTTGTCAGAATTCGTATTGGGTATAAATATATCGGAAAAAAAAAAAAAATATATATATATATTTTAAGTTTAAATTCTGTTAAGTTTGTTGCAATAAATACCAAATCCTTTACGAACGGATCGGAAATTTGACTTAATTCATCGGAAACTTCCTGTTTCCTCTCTTCAATCTTTTCCATTTGATTGATCCTTTATTTTCTCTTTTATCGTTTTATTATTTCTTCAGGGTGTCTATTGATAGGAAAACGAAATCTGTAAAGAGAAAAAAAAAAAAAAAGAAAAGAAAAGAAAAGAAAAGAAAAGAAAAAGGAAAAAAAAAAAAGAGAAAAGAAAAGATTCAACTCGTAAAAAACATATCGCGATCACATTACACAACGATAACCTGCGATAAATTATGAAACGAGAAAAGAAGAAAAAAAAAAGAAATGTTATTATATTATGAGATTAGTGTTTCGTAGGTGGGAGGGAGTGATCGAATCATTATTTATCAAGATTTTAATCTCGATAAAATGGGAATAATATAATCGCAAAAGCTTGAACTTTTCATACGTTTCATGCTTTCAGAGTAACGGAAATCGGCACGTAAACGTATTGCGAAAGTGTGGCGAAGACGGTGCAAGAGGAGGCTGCAAACTTAAGCCATGAGATATTGTCCGCTTTACTGTACGTTGACAATATAATAGAAATTATGAATTGTACAAACATGTAATTCACCTGTTTGATCATCAAAGTACGAATTCGTTATTAATTTTCTTTCACTTCCTCAAGGTTCACCTCAGTAGGCACCCTGTTTGTCTATTCTTTCTCTCGACTTTGATCATTATTTCGAGAAAAAAAAAAAAAAAATGAACGAACGAAACGGCGCATAACCGCGGCGTAAAACCACGTGTACGTACCTTAAAAAAAAAAAAAAAAAAAAAGAAAAACAAACAAAAAAAAAAGAAACTACGCATCGTTATAAATAATACTTCATTTTCAGGGGTTGTCTTTCCGAATCGTGTCTTTCGAGCCGTTTTATCTCGAGGGATCAAAGGTGACTCGTGCAACCGTCGTGTATTAAAAATATTATACTTTCGATTGAATTTCGAAACGCGGGAATCACGAGGGACGCTTCTCGTCTCTTCGATTCGCTTAGAGGCCTGCCAAGACACGCCACTTGGCCAGACATTGTTTCTCGACCGCGCTTTCCTTTCGTTCTCAGATTCGGCAGGACAATCTGATCACAGAATTGGACATGTAGAAGTTCTGTTATTTATTGAGTGTCACATTATCAACTTGTTCCGAATAAAGACGTTCTGTGGAAAGTCCGAAAGATTGGGCATAGTCTGCCGTTCTGGGAACTCGCCTGATAAATTCTTTTTCGAACGTCGTCGTATTTGCATCGTATCGATCTTTTATATATCTTCCTTCTTTCTTCAACGTCTTCCGTCTTTATCTTTCTTTTCTAAATCTAATCTTATTTATCTTTTTTTTCTACTCGGCAAAAGGAGAAAAAAAGAAAAGTTTTTGGAAAGATGAAAGAATATTCTCCCAGAATGGCGGGCGACAGCCACATATTGTTTCAACCAATCACAGCTCTGACTGCTGTTGGACCTTATCGGTCCCTTGCCTGAAGGCAGGCGATTGTTTGGACCTACCGTCCTAAAGTCGAGGTAGTTGTTGTATTCCCAATTGTACGCTCGATCTTTATATCGCGTTCGTGAACGCGTTTGCCTTAATTTTTTCTTTTTTTTTTTTTTCTTTTTTCTCCACATCATAATCGCGTATCTTTCAAAACGTTTGGAAGAATACTCGAGTTGAAAATCATAAATTTTAGTTCATGAAAAAAAAAAAAAAAAAAGAAGCAATTGGTAAGTTAGAAGCAAAATAGATTGGGAAATATCATGACCTTGGCTGCGTGGACGCGTGGCTGGACCGAGAAACAATATCAATCGTAATCGATAATTGAGTCGTGGGTAAATCGTGTTAACTGATTTCGATCGTTCGAAATGTTGGAACGAGAACGATTTCTATATATATATATATATGTATATATATATATATTTTCACAACTGAGTTTCGATTATTTATATTATTATGTTATATACATATGTACAGTTATATTTTTCTCTCTTTTTCTCTCTCTTTCTTTCTCTCTCTCTCTCTCTCTCTCTCTCTCTCTCTCTCTCTCTCTCTCGTTCGACAATTCGATCGTTCGTAGAATGCTTAGCTGGCTCTGTGTGTATATCGATACATCTGTATCTTACGTTGCGCAAAAATCCTTCATTATCCTGTTCCTTTTTTATGCTAATAATGTCTTTCCATTTGGTGACAGCGGATGCACGATTCGCTCGTGGGGATCGCTTTGCTCGAAGAACCGGTAACACGGTGGCTCTTTATCATTCTAATAATCTTTAATATAACAGCGGCTCTAAGCACAGGAAATTAAGTGCTACCTTCAAAATACGATACGAAAATATTATTTGCAATTTCCCCCTCCCTTTTTTATTATTTATTTATTTATTTATTTATTTATTTATTTATTTATTTATTTTTCTTCTTTCTTCTTAGTAATATTATCATCGTCAGATCTTATCTTTTTTTCATATCGATTTCGATGGACGGGCGATCGTTTCTCTTTACGCGAAATTCGATCGAACGAAATGAAAACGATTTCGGGAAAATTGGAATACGGATACATTTTCCATCGAGTTTCTCTCGTATGTATATTTGCGATATATATATATGTATATATATTTTTNAATTTTAGCAGTAGTCTCTCTCTACTCTTCTACAGCATTGTTGTTTTCAGCCGACTGCGCCTGCGATAGAATGGACTGATATTGTCGAAGAAAAATAGAGAGGAATAGGTGGCACATTGCACCTGTATCTCGTTCAAAACGTTCAATAAATGATAAATTGTTTGATAACAATGATCACGCTTTATCACGATTGAGATCATCAACGGTTTTCTTTATATTAATTCTTTTTTTATGTAAGATGAATATCTTTAAAATTATTCGTTTTTCGGCCAAAAAAAAAATCGATGATTTCAATCGCGTGAATGCGTCCCTTTTCATTTTTTATCTCTCGCCTCTTAAAAATTTATCTCTCCTTTTTCATACCTTGGAAAAAGTTTACAAATTTATACAGATATTTTTAGACGAGTCGTTGAACGAACAACAGAAGTCGGATTGTTTCTATTGTCGAAATGGCAACGAGGGTCAACGATGTTTTTTAAAAAAAAAAAAAACTCGATTCGATAATTCCTTTGCGAGACCTAGATAGACCGTGAAAAAATTATTTTGCGTCTATTTTATAATATATCGATAAAATTCGAATTAAATTCATTAAACTTTTTGACCAGAGCTGATACGTATATTAAATTTTATTGATCGAAGATTCGAATCTTAAAAATTCGATCGAGAATGAATGAATTTAATTTAAATTGTCGGATCGTGCATGATTTTATGAACGATAAAATATAAATTAATTCGAAAGATACGTAATTATAATCATAAATAATCGTTAAAAAAAATATACGCAAATTAAGAGAATCGAAATAATCGCGAATAAGTTCGTGCATCGATAGATTATACTGGAGAAATTTAAATTTTACGATTTCGCTAAAAAAAAGAAAACCGCTTTTAATTAATGATTGGTACGCTTTGATTCAAAGAAAACCGGTATATTCCTTACGATAATATAAATTTGATAACGCGATTCAACAACGATAAAAATAGCGTTAGAAAATGATTTCCATTGTTGGCGTTAAAAGAGGATAATATATAAGCATCTACGGTGTAAGCGATCGCGAAAGTGAAAGCAGACTGTATGTTTGTATGCGTATATATATATATATATATATATATATAAATATATGGAGTATTCAATCGACCTCGGAATAGCGCAACGGTTGGCTCGCGCACGATATCTAACCAAACCTTGTTAAAAGGTATTGGAGAGCGAGTGTGTTGTTTAAAAGGATATAAAAATGCATGTTGCACGAGTCACAGTTGCATCTATTATTATTATTATTAATTAATGTTAAAGTTTCTTTTCAACGGATAGTAAATTTACGTAATATTTTATTTCGAAATATTAGTTGTTCGAACGAATTTTCTTTTCTTAGATTCTTTCGTTATAATTGTTTGCGTCAAACGGTCGACGAATCGTTCCGGTTCGCTTCTCATCGCATTTTGTCGATGTGACAAAAATAGTACATCAGTAATAGCTTGTTTATTCAAAAAGTTTCTTAATAAGTGAGAAGAATATTTATCTATCGTAAAAAATAAGCAATTTTATGGAAGATGATTTTTACATATATCGATTGATGTATCGTAAAGGGAATTACGTCATAAAATTGGAGAATTCGTTTCGCGTAATTAAGAAACACGATTATTCGTGAGTAGAACGAAAGAGCGTGGGTACATTAATCGACGTCTGATCGTAACACAAATAACAGAAAAGTCTCACGGAGAAGAGCAATTGTGTACGAAGATGCTTTGCATACAATCTTGAGTTCAACCGTTCTAAGGACTTTCACTTGGAATTTACGTCAAAGGGAAGTGAACTAACTCGGCGATAAATCAGTTTACAATTAAATTTTCTTTCACACTTGGATCTTTCGTTTCGTATTATACTTCTTCTTTTTTTTTTTTCCTTTGTTCCCCGTGGGAAATCCACTACATCTCTTTCTTATTATATTCGTTAACGAATGCGGTACAACTTTTTCCAGATCAATATAAATCCCTTCTTACCCGAGATCGCGTTTATATAATTGTCTTTAATTATCTTTCGTACATTTTTTTTTATCGATCGAAAAGAAAATTGCGATTTTTTTTCTTCCTCTTCTTTTTTTTCCCTCCCGTCACAAACATTTCAATTTCTCTTTAAGATGGATTTCGATTCCAATTAGAATTTGAACCGAGATAACACCTTTCTACTACTGGAAATTCGATACTTTCACGCTTTTTATCCTTACTCGCGATGAAGTAAACAAACGACTCCCGTTTACGAACATATCTCGCTACAACATAGTTGGTTCATCGCTCCTTTTCACTACCAACAACCACGCGATGGATTAATACAAGGGAACGATGAATCGTGGTATTTCAACGAGTCTGTCGAGCGGATCGGTAAAGCCTTGAACGGTATCCGAACGGTATTCTCTACAGGAGAACGTAATTCCCAGACCAGACGAATTCTCAGTTTGTCGCGTGTTCTCGTCGCGATAGTATACTATTTGCTTTCTTTCGCGTTTCCATCTCTCGTGAACGCGATTCCTCTCGACCCGAACTCTTACTCGGTCGACGAAAGTCGAGTCGAGTGTTGTCCAAACACTGTTCGAATTATTATCGAGTCGACCAAGTGTTCGGTAAATAAGTAATTTAAATAATGGTTAATGTTTCGCGGTTATCTTGCATCCGGGTGAAATTTATTTCACGAAATATACTTTTGACCTTCAACAGTTTTTTTCAACCGTATCACGGGTGTTTAAAAATTCGACCAAATAAATTCGGGAGAGTGAACAAATATTTCGTATTGAAATAATTTCCAATTTTTGCATCGCGCGTTTCGTCACGTTTTTTTTACATACGCTTGTAAAAATTGATTTAAAAAGACAATCGTTCGTTATTAGAATAAATTTGTTAGTCAAAAAAAAAAAATTTAATTATAATAAAATATATATATATATATATTTAAGATTTATCAAAAGGTGAAAAATCATCATTTTAAAATATTCGAAATAAATGTGTATGTTTAAAATATTTGTCGACCCACTTTATCGCAGTGTGTGATTGTTATTAACGTGCGAGTAACTCGATAGAAAGTACGATTGCATTGCAAGACTAATTTTTGTCTCTTGATATCGTATTACCGTATTCTTTAAAAAAATATTATTTTTTTCGAAATAAATATGTATGTAACTCGCTTTACCGAACAAAATCTAATCGAATATATATATATATATATATTTTTAAATTATTATAACGAATTTCTAAACGTAATGTCGAGCGAATCGATTAATTTAGAAAAGGAAACAAAGGAAAACGGGAAAAAATTGAAATAATAAAAAATAATTAACGATAAATCGCACTTTTTTTTTCTTTAACAACAGATATTATAAGTTTCGATTTTAAATTCCCGGATAATTGGCACGATAATGATTAATTTATCGATAATGTTAATTTGTAGTATCAACGTGGGAGTGGTTAACCGTTAGATAGAATCAGGAAATGAAAATGCGAGTCGGATCGACTCTCCACCTTTTCAATATCTTGCTTCAAATCCATCTCTGGACCACGATCGTCGCTGGCGACGAGGATAAACTTCGCGTGATCTTCCAGTGGAAACAGCTCGATTACGAATGGCCGAACAACGAAACCAAACTTCTCTTCCCAGGATACAAACAGGAGGACAACCTTCCCCTTGGCCTCGAGATTACGAGCACCAGGATATTTGTCACTGTGCCGAGATGGAGGCGCGGTGTCGTTGCCAGTTTGAATTATTTTTACGTAAATGGTGAATAACAACAATAATAAAATTTTATCAATTATTTTTAGTATCGATGTATTAGAATCGATTTTGGCAGAGAGAGAGAGAGAGAGAGAGAGAGAGAGAGAGAGAGAGAGAGAGAGAGAGAGATAAAAATAACGAATACGTTTCAGATACACGGGAATCTCCTACTTTGATACCTTATCCTTCTTTCGAGGCGCATCAATACGAAGGTGGAAGCGTGCCGGAGATCATTTCGCCGTTTCGAATCCGAGTGGATCGATGCGAAAGATTGTGGGTGCTCGATACAGGATTTACAGATATTTTGCAAAATCCGGAACAAGAGGCGCCGCCCGCGTTGCTCGTCTACGATTTAAAAAACGATCGATTGCTACGAAAATTCGTTATTCCCGAGGATCAAAAAACGCACGATTCTCTTTTCGCGAATATCGCGCTCGAAGATTACTCCTGCGAGGATACCTTCGCTTATCTGGGCGATCTGGGTGGTCCCGGACTGGTGGTCTACTCGTGGAAGTCGAGAAAATCATGGCTCGTCAAGCATCGCTTCTTTCAACCCGATCCGCAAGTTAGCATCGTTTCTTATCTCATCTTCACTCCACTTTTTATCTTTACGATCTCGTTCCCCTATCTTCTTCTATTCTTCTATTCTTTTTTTCAATTTTTAAGAGCGAGGAATTCAACGTGTCGGGAATTTCGTTCCAATGGACCGACGGTTTGTTCGGTATGAGCATCGCGCCATCTAACGATGGATACAGCGTGATGTATTTCCATCCACTTTCCAGCACCATGGAATATTCGGTTAGTACCAAGATATTGAGAGATCCTGAACGCGCCAATTCTCCAGGTAAATCTATTTATTTTAATATCGTATCCGGTATATCGCGATCCATCCATTTCACGTTTTTGGCTTTCAGACAACTTCAAAGAATTTCGAACTCTCGGGTCTCGGGGACACAATGGTCAGAGTAGCGTTAGCTTTTTGGACCCGAACACCGGAGTTCTTTTCTACGCGTTAACCAATTTAAATGCTATCGCGTGTTGGAAACCTCGAAACACGTTCACGCTTCAGCAACAAGGTCTTATTTATCAAAACGGCATCACGATGGTTTTTCCTAACGATTTAAAGGTAATAAAATACGTTCGTCTCTCTTCTTTAAACCTTGATAATATATATATACTTGATAATATACCTTGATAATATATATAGTTGATCAACAGGATCCCGATAAAAAAAGTCCTAGATCGATCGAGCAATGTTTGCATCACGCGATAATAAATCATGTTTACAAAAACTCGTTTAAAACTCGTTATCCAAGAGTTAATAGTAGATTTAAAAAATATTTTGAATCGCAAAAGCGACGAATGAAGTAAAAACTGTATTAAAGTTTTACCAGAGATAATTTCAATCTAGTATATTGGCAGAAATAAAGTTACTAAAAAATCTCCCTATCGCTAGGTTTTAATAATGTCAAATATCTATCGCTTTTATTATTTATTTTCTTCTCTAATATATATATTTTTAATAGCATGTCTTCTTGATTTCAGATCGATCAAAATGGGAATATTTGGGTACTCTCGGATCGTTTGCCTACCTTCATGTATGCACGTTTGGATCCCGAAGATTATAATTTTAGAATTCTTATGGGATCTGCCAAAGAAGCTATAAGAGATACTGTTTGCTCCACGAATCCATCGGAAAATAGTCCGACGACTACCGTTCCTCCGGAAATGTTTGAAAATTCTAGTTGCACGAACGAAACTCGATCGATTCTCGTATTTGCAATTGCCTTAATTGTTCTTCTCACGAGAACGTCTGTTTGAAAAGTTTTACTTAATTTAAATCCTTTCAATCACGACTGAATGTATTTGTATTCCATATACTTTTCAAGATTATTTCCAAGTTTAATTTTACGAGAAATTTTCCGTAAAATGTAAATATTCTATTTCTATTGTTTATGATCTTATTAGATTATACGTAATAGTTTGTACAGTCGGTAAAGTAATATATAAATATAATAGTTATCCTAATGAACATAAATAGCATTGAAAATAAAGCAAAATATTGTCAAAAGTAATTTATATCAACGCGATAAATATATATTATGTGTGTATATATATATATATATATATATTGATTGAAATCGTTTGGTACAAATATATATTCTTCTATTGTTCCTAAAATATAGTTGGAATGGAAAAGAGTAACTTCATCCAATAATAGGAATAAAAATAATCTATAAAACATTATTGGGATACACGTGATTAAAAAAAGAAAAAATATTTATAGAAAAGTTTTAATTTCATCGTAATAATCATAAAAAAATATTATTTATTTGTATAAGAAATACAATGCCGTGTTGAAAGGATTAACAAGATCTTAGTAATAATGTAATAATTTCTTAGTGAAAAAATATAGTGTGTCTCGTGATTCGAAAATTTCGAAAAAGTTTCAAAACTGTTTCTGATTCTTCGAAATTCCAGAGAATTCTGAAATTTTCGAACCAAATATCGGATTCAAACATCTCTAAATTTCAAAACGCCGAGAATATGTCTCGAACATTGTGAATATGCTTTCACGTGAATAAGAAGAATTTGAAAATCGAGATGTTATTTTTGTCAATGACGCGCATAATCGAGTTTCTTTCCAATCTTGAAAAGATTTATAAAATTATATCGGATTGCAAAAAAAAAAACTATTGAATATTTTTTCAATGGTATACATTTTTTGACGATTGTGAAAAGAAACTTGAACGAATAGACGACTGATTATTAGTTACATATAACATGATTCAGATATTGAAATAATTGTAATATCTGATTTAGATAAATATATGTATATAATATATTGGACTTTAATAAAAAATGTCATGTACATATACTTGCATTGTGTAAAAATTGGATCAAAGAGACTTTAAAATTTTAATCAGCAAAGAAGACAAATAAGTTAACATATTCTAATATTATATCGAGGAATTTTATTGAAAAAATAATGAAAGAAGATAGAGTAAAAAATACGAAATTAGCGCTTTTTTTAACTTCCAAAGAGATTTCTAAAAGAATTCGAGAGATAGCGCTGATCCTCGATTCTTATTCTACTTATGTTTATGTCTTCGATACTCGAGAGATGGAACTGATGGTTAATTCTTCCCATATCTCTATTCTTTATCCGTAATGATTTCACAATTTTTCCCTAGAATTGTTCTTTTTCCATTATTTTTTTTTTGTTTATGTTATAATTACATTATTTCTCAATAACAGCTATCTTTAAATTTGTTCATCCTTTTTCAATTTATATCCTAATTTTTTTTTTCGATATTTATTCTCGTGTAAAAGAAATAATATCGCACTTGACCTATATACATAAATTGAAAAACTTCAATTGAAAAACTTTATGGTAATCTATATTGAATCGAAATTTTAAGGAAGTAAGATCTCAATATAAAATTTTAATTACGAGTATTTATTAATTTTTGAGATATTGTTAAAAATCTTTTTACATATCGAATACTGTTTAGTATGCAATTGACACTTATTAATTATTTTTATATACAGCGATTGATATTCAAAATATTTCAAAATTATGATATAACTATGTGGTTATTATTTGAATAACTAACAAGTAACTCCAAATACTATTATTAATTCATACATTTTGCGTCATACATGACTGTTATTCGATGTATTTATAGAAACTAGATGATCACACCACTGACACATGTATACATAGAATTCAATATATATATATAGCATAGGCAAAGATTTGAAAAATTAATAAATATCTGCAAGTTATATTTTATATTTTGAAATCTTCTTCTTTTCTTCGATTCATGATAATTGAATCATATTATACTTATTTATACTTAATCCAACTTTATTTTTACAATTTATATACGATATAATTTGGATAGAAATGAATTTTGTAAAAAATTTTCTATTTTTTCGAAATTTATTATTTACTACTAGAAAAATTGTCGTACTTTTCGATGCCGATAATCCTGATTTTTCACTAAACATCGATCAATTAAATATTTACTTTATCGATTGATTATTAGGTAAGATTATTTTTCGTAAACAAATACAAAACGAGAAGAATGATTGGGAAATTATATTACATTATTTATATCAAAAACATGAAAACACAGTGTTGTATTAATTGTGGATAAATATAAATAAAATGGCAAAAATCTGAGATATATTAAAAGACCGAATAATTTTTTGTCGCATATTAGAAATATTTGTTTCATTATCTAATGCTTATCTTATAGAATTATTTGTGTAAAAATTTGCCTTGGAATATTTTACATCTAAAAGATAAGAGATAATTATATAATATAAATTTTAAAACAATGAAAAACATTGGAAAAAAACTTAATTCGGTAAAATAATAAATCAATTTATAATTTGCATGTAATTTTTCTCGATAAAGAGAAACAGTTTTACAATAACGTGTCATTAATTCATCATCTCGGTATCATATTTTAAGGTCAAAGTGCTAGTTCATTTAGATTCTGACCAGTAAATGTTTGTTTTACATGCGTATATATAAGATAGAATATATATATAAGAAAGAAGAAGTTTACTTTTCAAAGTTTCATTAAAAGCAATACGGTAAAACGATATGGAATACGAGTTTCAGTTTTAATCAATGTTAGTAGAAAATAATTTTTGCATATCTATTTATATTTTTCACGCGATCGAATAAATATACTATAATAAATTTCTATTAACAACTATCGTTATCGAAGATATATCGTTTCAATATCGAACATTGGGAATATATATAAACCAACATCAATTACGAGTATCTTTTCTTCTAGATATTTCCATAGGAGGAACATCTAGGCACAATTAATCCTATTTTTGGTATGATAACGAATTTTAATTTATGAAAACAATAACATATTATATATATTATAAATTACAAAATTAAATACAATTAAATATTCATTTTTTAAAACATTATTCAATGCGCGAATTAATGATTATTTTATTTATGTTTTTTCCATTAATTTTGTTCATGAGACATAAAACATAAAACATAAAACATTTACATAAAACATTTACATAAAATTAAAATTACATAAAACATTTTTTTATAAAAAATATAATGCTAATAAGGGATTGTAAATATTTTGAATTAACAATTTTTCAAATAACACGATCGCTACGTAACGTAAATCATATAATAAAAAAAATATAATATAATAAAAATATAATAAAAAAAATAAAGGAAACGTACGAAAAAGTGTGATTTATCGAAAAGAAATTCAAAATATATGTGGAAATCGATTAAATGGAATTTTAATTTACGAAAACGGGATTAATCGATGTTTATTTTATCCGATATGGAAAAAAATTAAAGTTTTTTTAACGATACGTTCATTTTTATTGAAGATAATTTGAAATTCGAATAACAACAATATTGGCACATATATCTTCGCTGCAATCGCTAATACTATTCCAAATATTTCCATAATTTTATTGTTCCATAATTTTCGATCAAAAGCATATTCATATAAATTCAATTTAATCGATACAATTTATTTTCTCATTACTTTCCAAACTATTTGTCGACGAAAGATGAATTCGTTAAAAAATAATTTATACGTAAGTAATTTTAAATCTTTTTTATACGTGTGCATACCATTTTCATTGGTAGAATGAAATAAAATTTTTTTTTTGTATAAATTATTAGTCAATAATTTCAGTATCACATGTTTTTTTTTTTTAGAAAAGTGAGAAAAACGATACCATGGGGAAAAGTGAAAGCTCGATACCAGGTTTCGAAAATTTTCCCGGAAGGGAGGCTAAAGTTAAAACAGGCTACGCTTATCTCGAAGGAAGAAGGCAAGTAGATGGCGCGGAAGATTTATGGAGGATTGGAAATAATTTATACGATTTGGAAGGGTTCGCAAAATTTCATCCAGGAGGCGCTGAATGGATCCGCCTTACCAAGGGTACCGATATTACCGAACTTTTCCAGGTATAATTATATTATTTGTTATTAATCATCGAATTATCGATATGAAAGAAATTTTTTCCATTTTTCTGATCGTTTCTCTAGTCGCTCCGTGTAAACGATGATTCGTTTAAAAAGAACAAATAGATCGAGATTTAAACGACAATCTTCTGAATTGTTCGAGAATAATTCGAAATCTATTATAATTATCTATATTCGAAAATTGAACTCGATTGTTATAAAGGTTATTCGCGCTTTTTTCAGACGCATCATTTGACCGATAAAGCCGCAAAACTTCTTCCAAAATATTTGATAAGGGAGGCTGTTGCACCACGAAAATTGCCATTAACGTTCGAGCCAAATGGTTTCTTTTCTACGTTCAAAAGACGAGCGTTAGAAGCTTTGAAGGACGTGGATTTCCATCGACCGTCCACGAAAACGAATTTAATCGCAGATTTTCTTTTCGCCTTTTCTTTAATATTTAGCATCTTGGCAGCGTACACCCAATCTTATCTAATGATCGTGTTTACCGGTTGGTAAAAATATTTCTTCGATATTTTTACTCCGACAAAAGCTCGTAACACCGTTAATCGATAAAGATTTATATTTTCAGGGATTTTCCTCACATGGACTACTATAAGCGCCCACAATTATCTTCACATGAAGGATAACTTTCGAATGTATTATTTCGATTTGAGTACGATGTCATCGAAGGATTGGCGAATAACGCACGCGATGAGTCATCACATGTATCCCAATACTCTTTGGGATTTTGAGATATACGCGTTCGAGCCTTTCATTCATTGGTTACCAGATCCGAAAAAATCTTTACCGATGGTTTTCGTGAGTCAACTCATAAGTCCTATCATTTGGGCTTTGATGTTTTACGAACAAGCGATCAAAAGGTTTTTTTATTTTATTATGTATATTATGTATATATGTATATTATATAGTATATCGTGACAAATCAAACGTATTTATTCGTTTCAGATATTATTCAGTGTTTTTCGAATATAAAACGTTCGAATTGAGAGACGCAATACCTTTTTTCCTACCCGTTTTAATGTCATTCTTCACACCAAATTTCTTCACGGCTGTGAAACTGTGGTTATTGATCTTAGTATCGGCTAGTTTTATGTTCTCCATAATCGGTTTCAACGCAGCTCATCATCATCCCGATATCTTTCACGATGGTGACATATACAGGTTTGTTTACATCGAAATGTTTTGCATTTTGAGAATTCGAATATTATTTTCTTTAAAAAGAAAAGAATCGTTTTAACGAGTTTTTTTTTTAAGATTTTGAATCAATCTTATGTTTATCCTGTCTCAAAAAATCAAAAGATCGTTTTTCTTTCTTTTTTTTAGAGACGATTACGATTGGGGTGTACTGGAATTGGACGCTGTGAGGGAACGAAAGGTGATCGACGATTCCGATTTTTTGGTATTGACGAATTTCGGTTTGCACGGTCTTCATCACCTTTTACCAACGGTCGATCATTCTTACTTGTCACTTTGCGTGAACGCTTTTGAACAAACTTGCAAGGAATTTGGGATCAGTATCGAAAAATTCACTCAATGGGAACTCGTCAAAGGACAATTTAAACAATTGGCACGTAAGAAACCGAAGAAGAATTTGAGATAGAAGGAACGAAGAGTATTTCGAAATAATCGTATTTTGATGTATCATATGAATATGTAACACGAGTTAAGAAGTATATAATATAATAAGTAAGAATCGGAGTGTGATTTTTTTTTTTTAACGCCATCATCAAACAAATCAAACGAATTTTGCTTCTTTTCGTTCTTAATTTTATTTATTGCTTATTTATTTATTAATAAATACATACTTCGGCTCTCTTTATAAATTACAATTAAGTTTATAGGATAGGATTATCATTTCGATGACACGTATAATAATAATAATAATTGCGCGCTGCCGTTCAAA